TGTGTGTGTGTGTGTGTGTCTGTGTCTGTGTGTCTGTGTGTGTGTGTCTCTGTGTGTGTGTGTGTGTGTGTGTGTGTGTGTGTGAACACTCTCAAAAGGTGGCCCTTCATAGCGATGTTGAAGGTTGAAAATGGTTATTTCTTTATCCCTCCTCCCCCGGCTTCATCCTCATTCTGCGGAGACACATGAACCTGGATCAGAATGTTCTGTCCTTTTAGGCCTCAGAGCCGGGCCAGGGATGTCAGTTAAGCTGCTTCTTCTCACACCTCCAAGGACATGCGAGTTGAGTTCACAGTGGTGTGGGCCGAGGGGGCTGCAAGCTTGCCTATACCTTCCCATGCCTTCTGGATCTAGACACGTTTGCTGCACAGTTCTCAGGGTGTGAAGCTGCACAGGACACGGTTGCTGCCCAAGGCTGCCCAGTGTATCAAGCCACTAATTGACCCGTGATTTCATTCCAGGCCAATGCCTTCACAATTGGACCTCACCAATTCCTCTCAGCCATCCAGTCTTTGAGACAACCCTTTTCAAGTTGCATCTTGCACGAGTCAGCTAAGGAAAAGCCATTTCAGCCCTGTTTTTCCTTTTTAGTAACTTTCTTTAATGCGACAAGGGCTTTAAAGCCCAGATTTACACATGCATACGCATATCCAGTATTGAAATGCTTTTCTTCCCCCTGAAAACTCCTCTTTCTATTTTAACCAAGTTCAATCAACAAATATTTACTTGATTCCTACTATGTGCCATGCATAGTGTAAATCTGCAAGGAGGAAGGAAAATGCTAGGTCTCACACGAATCGTGTGGGGTTGACTGACAGTTGCCGAACTCTCTAATAAGCATGCTGTTCATGCTGGAACATGAAAACCCATCTTGCTGGGTTTTCAATATAAAGAATGTGCTCATGAAAATTGCATGTGGGCACATTTACCCAGAAAATTCTTCTGGGCTGCTCTAACCTGTGCTTAGGGTGATGCTTGCATTAGAGAGAGAGTTTTGGGGGCGGCTTTAATTCTACCTGTCTGTGTCAAAGGACGAACACATTGCTCTAGGCTCCTCTCTGCCGTCCCACCCTCCCTTTCTTGTCTGACCTTCTTCAACCTTCCTCTGTTCTCTCCACTGTCCCTGGAAGTTGTAAGTGGTGGATTGCTGAAGGACAGCACGGTGTGATGTGCGGGGCTGAGAGGGAAGGGAAAGAACCGAGACAGTGATGCCAAAGTCAGCTCCATTCCATTTCGAGGCTGTGTCCTATTAAAATACGTTACCTCTTCGGCAGCTTGCTGGTCCCGCAAGGCAATCACATTCCTAATGAGTTTGTTAAAAAAGCCGTTCAGTTCATCTCGGTTCTTATTGGGCAAAATCCGGGCCAGTGGGACCATTATGGATGGAAATGATACTTGAAAGAGAAAAACAAAAGTGGCATTGAAAAGGGGGTGATAATAAACCAGGGCCATTAGACGCCTGTTCCTGGGAAGAGAAAGCGGGCCTGGAATCGGAGCCGTTTTTGAGTCCTGCCCTCCCCGCCGCACTGCTGCTCCTGAGAGCAGGGCGATGTCTCACTCCCTCTCGGTACTCCTCACCATTCCTGGCACATAGTAAGCACTCAATAAACATCTGTGCAATTAATCGAGTCTGCACTTCCATCTGGCCCTCAAGAGGTCAAGTTCACCCTTACAAATTAATGTTTCAGGTCCCGGGGATGGAGCTTAAGGTCTTCGTACTTCATCAAGAGAGAAAGGATTACAGGCTGTTTCAAGCCTTAGCAAGTGGTGGAAGCTGATTTACTTTTTACAAACTTTCTGGTCATTTGCATTTTTTTTCTTGTGGATAATTGTCCCCAGAACGACCTCCTGAATTGTTCCCAAGAGCTGCCACTGCAGCTGCTGACAAGGATACTGGCTGTTGCTGCGGTGGGTCCCTCCCTTGCCGGCCCCTGGGTGCAGCGTGGGCCCCCTTGCTGCCATGTGCTGGGGACTGGGCTGCCAGGGTCAGGGACGCTTCATCTGCTCTGGAGAGGGGCACTGGCTGGGTTCAGCTTCTCAGTTTCCATGGTGGATTCACCCTGCACCAGGCTCTATGGGGGCTGGGCTGAGGAGAACATCTCCAGACACACATGCTCTCAGAATGCACGGGCCTGTTTTCAAGAGCCAGAGTCCCAACCAATGCGACACAGCAGCAGGAGGGCCCTGCAGAGGCAGAGAGGTGGAATAGAAAGGATGGCACAACTGAGCCACCTGCCCCACGGGCCTGGGCCATGGTTGAGGCACAAGGTGCAGATGCAGCCTGGGCTGCCTCCAGGAGCGGTGGAAAGGGTGAAGGAAGAGACTGCTGGACACTCAGAGTGACTCTGCCCATGATTTCAGGGTGGAGCCAGTGGGGTGACAGGGGCTCCAGTGGACATTGGCTCAGAAATGGGAATGAAACTGGTCAAGGAATGAATGGAATTTACCAGCCCAGCAGAATGGTTAGAAATCATGGCAATAATCAACACCAATCATAACACGTCAATGCTCCTATAAAGGCAAGAAGACACTAGAATTGGCCAGAGGGCAAAAATCTCACTTCTACAATAAAAATAAAATAAGGCCCAGTGCGATGGCTCACGCTTGTAATCCCAGCACTTTGGGAGGCCGAGGTGGACAGATCACCTGAGGTCGGGAGTTTGAGACCAGCCTGACCAACATGGAGAAACCCTGTCTCTACTAAAAATATAAAATTAGCTGGTCGTGATGCTGCATGCCTGTAATCCTAGCTACTCAGGAGGCTGAGGCAGGAGAATCGCTTGAACCCAGGAGATGGAGGTTGCGGTGAACCAAGATCGTGCCACTGCACTCCAGCCTGGGTAACAAAAGCAAAACTCCAACTAAAAAAAAAAAAGTAATAAAAAGTAAAATAAAACAAATAGACCAGTCCCCATGCATTGGATAACCTACTCCTCATCCACCACGCAGGATTTCTGTGTATTGGGCTTCAAGTGGAGAAGTCTTGTGAAGAGGATTTTGCTGGAGGAAAGAAAGATGCCCTAGGAAATGAAAGGCTTTGGGTTGCAGTCTCAGGTCGGCCTTTCTAGGCCTGTTTCTCACCTGAGAAATAGGGACAAGAAGATTTTTCTCATAGGGTGATTACTAGGACTAAGTGAGGCAACGCACACCCAGTGCCTAACACGGTGAGTCCCCACTGTTCTCACCATGGCGGTGGATCACTTACCACCAATGCCAGGGCTACAGCACTGGGAATAAGTGGCTCTAGGCGGGTGGCAAGAGGAACCCGGTGGCTCCATAAGACAAAGCCTCTGCAGGGGAACACCCCGAGTGCCCTTTCCCAGTGGCGGGGACAGAGCCCCAAAAGCCGCCCCAGCTGTCATAGGGTCTGCCTGACTTGCTGGAGTCATCGCAGCGTCCTGGGCTGCAGCTGCACTTACAGAGTAAAACCAGGATAGGTCTGGGGATGCAGAATTCGAAGAAACGCTTGCAGTGTTTCACAAAGGGATCCTCAGGGGCCTGCTGGGAGTCCACCGGGGTGCCGAAGGCGACGCTGGCAACCACATCTGTGGTGTAATTGCAGTAGCACCTACGGGAGATGGGAACACAGGGATTTGAAAGGACTCTGGCAGGGGCTACCCGCAATGCCCCACTCCAGAGGAGGAGGGCCTGAATTGCCTACACTGGCTCGCCCAGCCCTGCAGATGTGCCTGGAAGGAAGAGGAGCTTCTGCAGATCTGTGGTGAGGTGGAGGGAGAGGGGCTCCTGGATGGGGCACTCTGAGCAGTGATGGCAGAGCGCGGGAGGAGACAGGAAGACCTGGCAGCCAGCTCATCTAAACAAAGACCTGGGAGGGGAGGAGGGCACCGCCTCTTCCACCTTCGAGCTTCAGGCAGCCGCGGTCAACCAGAACACAGCCAAGTACTAAGAAGGACACTTTACATTTTCCTCCCTAGGAAGGAGAGCAGACAGGTGACCGAACGCCTGCATGCTGTACTCAAAGCTCCGCACAGCCCAGCTCAGGCCAGAATCTAATGATTAATTGATAGACATCAAATTGTCACTGATGAATTAACAACCTAATTATCCAGCTTTATTAACTTTGTCTCCCTTTTCCTCTTAATGATTTTACAGTTTTCTTAATAGCAACAAACAAAAAGCAAGGGCTCTTAGCACTCAAATAAATACAAGGCCAACTTTAAGGCAGGCTTCATGAACATCTGTATATTATTACATAAAACATACATTGCACTTTAGAAACAAACAGAAGGAAAAGTGTCTGGCAGGAGCGCCAGAAAATTTAACCTCTTAGGCTATGGGAAAGCTGCCCCCTCAAAAGGCCATTTTAAACTCGAATGATTCCTTTTTGCTGTCTTATAGGAGTAGTCAGATTAAGTTCTTTCCCAAAAAGCTAAAAACTGGGTTATTAATATCTTTTTACAATTAAAAGGCCAATTTTTGTTCTCATTGTAGGCACACACTTAACTCTTCTTGTACATAAGTTCTATAACCACTAACTTATCATTAAGGAATACATGACATTTCCAAATGACTTTTAAAATTTGCACTGCTTTTATTGAAAACATTTCTACAATTGATTATACGTTTCCCTGCTCGAGTGAAAACAAGAATGAGACTGCTGAATGTGATTTCATCTGATTCTGATGGGTGAAGATTTAAGGGTCTTAAGGGCTATTTACTTTGCTTTTATAGCTGATGAGGCCACCTTATCTTTAACCAACTCATGCATCCTATAATAATCAGAGAGAATGTGGACGAAAAGACTGTGTAAACTGGTGCAATACCAGTGTTGGTGATGATTATGTTATTATTTGATTAGCAATGATAATAATGAGTCAATTTCTGGATGATTCACCATCCCACTTTATTCTTTATCTGCTGTAAGCCATGATTTGGCATAAAATGACTAAAGCAAAGGTGGCCAAATCTTTTGGCTTGCCTGGGCCACATTGGAAGAAGGAGAATTGTCTTGGGCCACACATAAAATACCGTAACACTAACGATAGCTGATGAGAAAAAAAAACTGCAAAAAAATCTCGCAATGTTTAAGAAAGTTTATAAATTTGTGTTGGGCCACATTCAGTGCCATCCTGGGCTGCTTGTGGTCTGCGGGCTGTGGGTTGGACAAACTTAGACTAAAGGTGTTTATTTAAGATAAAAACCTTTTAGTTACAAAATGATGAAAAGCCAGATAATCAGTTATTTAAATTTGGTGTCCACCACTAAGTCATGGCTTCCGGGCTGAGGTGCATCACAGTTTTTCTTGAAGTGAAAATGCTTGAACTTACCCCGCCCCCGTCCCTGTCCTTTGGCGCAGGCCTGTTCTGCCTGTTCCTGGGTCTGTGGAGGTCAGAGGGTGGATCCATCCACAGGTTCAACAGGGCGCACATCCCCTGGCTCTGCTCACATTTCTTTCCCATGTTAAGTGGGATTCTTTTCTGTTTATTCATCAGTCCATCCATGCTTTTATGAGCTTCTAGCGTTTCCACTGTTTGCTAGTCCCAAGGTAATTGTCCAGCAATTATGGACAGTTACAAGAAGCAGTGATTCAAACACTCGATTTCTCATCTGTAATGCAGCAGCCTTACCTCTGGATGTCAAATGCGTCCCCAGATTCTGCATAGCGTTTTAAATGAGCCAGGAGGAGGTCGCAGGCTTGGCTGATGAGCGGAGTCATCTGGTAATGGATAACACAGGTGTAATTAGGGCGCCATGCCGGGACTACACCTAAACTGGCTGCAGATGAAGAGGTTATATGTGGTGCTTTCTGGGAAAATGAACACTGTTTGGAAGATATTTTTCACACAGCTAAGATTCAAGAGGAAGGTCCTAAAATTTGCAAATATTCATGAAATACAATAGCTCTAAATGTCTATTTTAGCTTAAGCATTTTTTATCTTTGGAAGCAAAAAAGAAGAACAGATTTACAGTGAATACGGTGAAATAATTTTGAAAATGGAGTTATTAAGTGCTTAGACAAAACTGAGAATCAGTGCTCAGTTTCATGACACTGGGTTCGCATTAGCGAGCAAAGAAAGCCTACTCCATATGCCCTATCCCTGGAATTACCCGAGTTCACGCTTGTGTGTTCCAATTGTATTTTAGATCTTTCACTAGAATACTGAATCTTAGTATCCAAAGGAACCTAAGGTCATCCATTTCAACTTCTTATTTAACACAGAAATTATTTATAGAGCATTCCTGATGAACGGTTATTCATTTGTGCTTAAGGCACTAAGCTTTCGAATACTGGGAAAACCTTGACTTCAAGATGCCTCCTATGCCCATACAGGGCAATTGTTAGGTTTCTTTTTTTTTAATAGGAAAATGCTTTTATGTTAGAAAATTCCTAACCTACACAGAAAGGTGGAATGGCATAATGAAGATTCACATAGATACCACTCAGCTTCAACAAACGGGTGGGCGGAATTCTTTGTGGAGCCTGCTGGCCACCCATGTGACCTTTTATTCTCTCTTGCGTGATTAAAAGGCCAAGCTGAAAATACCAAGCAGCATCATTTTATTCGGTGCCCATTGTAGAATAGCATCACAGCTAAAGCAACGTGCTCTAATACATCGTTCTGAGCATTTCTCACGAAAGACATAAAATGTAATATATGTTTAGATTTGATAATTTTGACACTAGAATATTAAGTTCTCGAGGTCAGGGAGATTTTAGTCTGTTTCTTCATTTTTATAATCCTAGCACCTAGAACAGCGCCTGGCACATAGTAATTATTTGTTAAGTGAATGAACGAATCATTGAATCATACTGATTATGTAATACCCACTCCTTCGTCTTGAAGTCTTGGGGCACTGGGAAAAGTTATAAAGTTAATCTGCTTGTCAGAAGGTATGTTGATGTACTGAGGCAAAATCTGACTTCGTCTAACAATCTTTTGCTGGTTTCATTTCTGTTCTCTTCTTCGTGACAGTGCTCTCAACGCTCAGACAGCAGGTACCTGTCTTATCTGCTCCCCATCTTCTCCTAGACAACTGTTCCCATCCTTTCTTTCTTTTCTCTCTTTCTCCTTTCTTTCTTCCTTCCTTCCTTCCTTCCTTCTTTCTTTCTTTCTATGTTTTTTTTCTTCAGACAGACTCTTGCTCCACTGCCCAGGCTGGAGAGCAGTGGCGTAATCCTGGCTCACTGCAACCTCTGCCTCCTGGGTTCAAACGATTCTCCTGCTTCAGCCTCCCAAGTAACTGGGATTACAGGTGTGTGCCACCGCACCTGGCTAATTGTATTTCTTTCTTTTTTTTTTTTTTTTAGTAGAGATGGGATTTCACCATGTTGGTCAGGCTGATCTCGACCTCCTGACCTTGTGATCCGCCCACTAAAGCCTCCCAAAGTGCTGGGATTACAGGCGTGAGCCACTGTGCCTGGCTGCCCCCATCCTTTCAATGGGGGGCTGAACCATATGGCTTGCACACACCTCTCCTGCCTTATTGCTCTCATCTTTATCAGGGTCACTCCTAAAGGTGGCCTCATAAGTGGAACACAGTATTTCAAGTGTGGACTGGTGTATGGTAAATGAATCACTTCCTGAGATCTGTACCCTACACGTCAATTGCAAAGCCAGGTTTATGTTGACTTTTTTAGAAGACAAACAATGCAGGCAAATATTGAGTTTCAGGTTAATGAAAACCACAAGGTCTTTTTCCATGGATGATAACCATGTACAATTGCTACTTCGATTTTTTAGGGCCCATTCATTAGAAAGGCATTAGTTGTCCTGCCTTGTGTTCTGAGCAGAACGATCTCTTAACTTCTCTGGAATATTCAGGTGCTTGGAGACACCTGGTAGAGTGGGACAGCTGGGTGGCTATTGACGGGATGTTGGGAGGACATGCAATTTTATAGGACCCCTCTCCTCTGCAGTTTCCTCCAAGTCAGTCCCACAGGCTCTGGGTGTAAGGAAAGAATTGTGTCACCAGGGGCCCAACTCTTCTGTTGAAGGAGTGAGTCCTGTAGATGGCGGGTGAGGGGGTCCTGTAGGTCAGAGCTGCAATGGCTGCATGAAGGCTGCCACGTGGAGGCGGTAACCAAGGCAGGGGCAATGGCCTGGACAGCGCTACGGACGGCTGAACAACAGCTCAAGGAGCAGAACGTTCAGAGCATAACACACCCAAGTGGAGAGACGGCAGAGCATATGAGACGCATGAGTCCCCTGTTGCCAAGGCTCATGGAGGGAGGGCCATCTTGGGAAAATGGATTTGCTGTTCATAAAGCCACAGAGCTTGGAGCGCGGGGTATTTGAACACTATTGGGGAGCAAAAGATGTGTTCACTCATTAAAATCCCATTACCTGGCCAGGCGTGGTGGCTCATGTCTGTAATCTCAGTGCTTTCGGAAGCCAAGGCAGGCGGATCACTTGAATTCAGGAGTTCGAAACCAGCCTGGCCAACAGAGTGAAACTCCTCTCTACTACAAATATAAAAATTAGCTGGATGTGGTGGCAGGTGCCTGTAATCCCAGCTACTCGGAGAATCGCTTGAACCCGGGAGGTGGAGGTTGCAGTGAGCCAAGATTGCATCACTACCTTCCAGCCTGGGTGACAGAGAAAGACTCCATCTCAAAAAAAAAAAAAAAAAAAAAAAAAAAAGAAAAGAAAAATCCCATCACCTGCAACACTGGCTATTCTTTCTTCGTTCTGTCTGAAATTTAGTAAGTGTGCCTTCTAAGCCTTCCTTCAGTTGGTCAGTCTGTAGACGGGCCCTGGTGCAGACCCTTGTGGCCCTCCACTGGACAGCTATTATAGGTAGCCACAGAATCATTCATCATCACTGTTTTTGGCTCTTGGGCTACCTGTGCATGCACCTAAGTAAATACTCAGCCAAGCACCACTTTACTGATGAGTCAGCTGGGGAAGACTTTGTCAAATGATTTGCAGAAACAGAAATGTGATTTACCTCATCTACCTACCTGGAAGTCCACTCAAAAGAGAAAAATAAGTATGACTATCCTGATTTATTCTTAGTATCTCTGTGTTGATGCTTCATGACTACTGCATGCTTTTCTAAATTCGCACAAACCATCGATTTAATAATCCATCAGTGCAAAAGGGTGTGTAAATGGGTCACTTAAAATGGCCTCTGGGCTCCAACTTCCAAGAAGTCTCAGTCTACCCTTAATGTTGGAGAAGTCAGTACAGTCTAAGCCACATTTTTATGACTAGCTTTACTGGTTATCTTCCTTCAATTATCTTAATAAGTTTAGCGGTACAAGTGAACCCTAGTTTAATAAAATCCCATAAACCTAAATACCTTTTAGATTTATTTCAGAGGAATAGTAACATGGTAAAAAATATATATATACACACACACACATATATATATATATGTACTGTTTGAAAGGAAGTCTTTTTAGATATCAAGCTTGAAGCTTTCTTAACATAACAAAAGAGAGGGAGCATAAAATGTGATTTACACACAACTCTTCAGAGGCAAGCCCTGTGTATAAAGAGGGGGCCACCCATTCTGAATCCAAACATATTCCTGGACAGTGCGAAAGGGAGCCCAGGCCAGCTGCCCACCATTGGGTCTTCTACGTGCCTTTGATTAGAATCCTTTGTTGCTGCCTGACGTGACTGTAATTTTCTGCTATGCTCTGCCTGCTGTCTGTCGAACTGAATGGATAATGACATTTTTATTTGGGTTAATGTGATATGAGATGGGGCATGTAATATGAAAAATGTTTTAAAAAGCAATGCAGAGAAAATATTATAAGACAGCAGAGCATAATCTGTATGTTGGCCAATAGCCATTATTTCAGGTTTTCTTCCTTGCATTTTACACAGCAGTTACGGAATATTTACTTTTACATGAGTTGCATACAAACAAAAGCTCTCTTTGATGGGCTTGCATAATCTTTATACAATCCACAAACCCTGCAGTTCTTCTCCTAGATTTTTGAACAAGCAGGCAAACGTGGCATGTGCACACACACATGCACAGATGAATACACAATGCTATTATCACTCAGATCTTACTAAAAGACTCATTTGGTTGTTACATTTCATCTTCTTCATGGGATAATGAGTGATTTTTATTTTTTGTTTTATTCCAAATTTTTCACAATGCACATGTGTTACCCTTATAATCAGATAAAATATTAATGTTATCAGGTTTTTAAAAAGGGATTTATGAACGTTTCAGTCGCCTCAAAATTCATCCATTGAAGACCCAACTCCCAGTGTAGCTGTATTTGGAGTTAGGGCTTCTAAGGAAGTAACTAAGGTTAAATAAAGTCACAAGGATGGGGCCCTGATCCAATAGGATTGGTGTCCTTATAATAAGAGACACCAGAGCACTCATGCTTGTTCTCTCTCCCTCTCTCTCTGTCTCTCTCATGCACAAAGAACAGGTCTTGTGAGCAAACAGCAAGCTGGCGGCTACCTACAAACCAGAAAGAGAGGCCTCACTGGAAACCAACAATGCTGGCACCCAGCCTCCAAAATTGTGAGAAAATACATGTCTGGACTGGGCACAGTGGCATACACCTGTAATCTCAGCACTTTGAGAGGCCAAGGCAGGTAGATCGCTTGATGTCAGGAGTTCAAGACTAGCCTGGCCAACATGGTGAAACCTCATCTCTACTAAAAATACAAAAATTTAGCCAGATATGGTGGCACGTGCCAGTAATCCCAGCTACTCGGGAGACTGAGGCAGGAGAATCAC